TATGTCTGGTGCATGTGAAGAATCGACAACAAAGCTGACTTTGACTTTGATCTCTTGTACTCTAGTGAGTACTTGTGACTGGATCTCACTTCACCACTTTATATGCACGTAAACACAACAAGGCTGGGACCTACACAGAACTCTTTCAGTCAACGTTCATTATCACTGGCTGTTTAATATGAAGATTAGTCTATTTGTTAAGTTTTTTCAGTTTTCAGCCTCTTAGAGTCTCATGCTTTACCTGCACTGTCAGCAACCCTGCAAGAGAGACATCAAAGATAACGAAGAATGGCATTAATGCCAGATTGAGAGAAAGTAAAAATTTGCATCCTGATTGTACCATGGAGCCTCTCTCCTGTCAGACACAATGTTTTTATACAAAGAAATAACTTAATGTAAAATGTTTGCCGAATTTACAAGAAGCCCTGAATAATAAAGAATTTGACATAGACAGCGTTTTGCAACGTTTATTATGTTTCTTCTCACTCAACAACTCTCAAAGTTGTGTGATTGTTTAAGGGTAGTTTGGGGAATATAATGTGGCCTTGAACACATTAATGTTTACACTACAAAAGATATGGGGTCAAACCAACTCGACAAGTGGTTTGAGTGTTCGGACCACAATGAGTCTTGGGGGACGTTTTTTACACTTGTATTTAGAGCTGTCCATTTGTAATCCAATCACCGAAGGCGCATGTTAATACCGGGTGTCAAAAGGCTCTAAAACACTAGCTGAAGAAAGAAGTAACTAGAGAAACTCAGGAAACTAAGCTACATTCTGAGTTGAGACTCGTCTTTGAGAATACTTACTGCTCCAAGAGGGCTGCCAGGTCTCTGGATGGTGGCCAGAGATGCTCAGACAAATCTTCTTCCCAACTTCGAATCTTCCGTTCGGCTAAGAGAAAAGGCAACAGAAGAAGGTAGAGGTCAGAAAACATTAATTCTTAAAAGTTATGACAAGCAGACGGACATGGGAGTTTGAAACAATTGAGGAATGAGGAAATGCAGGCTGCTATGCTACAAAAGTAAGAGTTTTCAAAGAATGATGCAAACTGAAAAAATAAACATTATAGAAAAAGAGGAAAAGGAGCTGGACACAATGAAAAAGTGTCTGTCACAACAATTCAGAGCAATTGCTTGAGCTTTTATCAGCCTGTCATTAGTGTAGGTGTCATACAGCTGTCTGAATATAATAAGACAGTCTCATATTCTCACAAAACCAGTGCAATTTCCTCTGACAGTGTGATGACAGCCCAGGCTTTGATCTGACAACTGTCACTTTGTGTGTTGCAACAAGAAATGGCTGAGGGTTAAATGACATGCTGTCCATTTTCCACTCTTTGATCATCTGATTTGACATCTTCCTGTTCCACTTCAGCAGGAGAATAATCGGTATGCAGCTGAGACATGGCCTTCGTCTGTGTCTTACTGTGAGGAGGATGATGCTTGGGGGCTTCATTGGGTACTCTGGGGGAAGCACGATCCTGCCGTGGTAAACCCCGCCATCGAAATCGGAATCTGGAGGCCCACGTACGGAGAAGTGCCACTCAAACAGGTTATCCTGCAGAAAGACAGAGATGTCACGTTGAGCATATACTACAGACATGTTCATCAGGACAGACACAACTCTGCGACAGTGACGTGTCCTGTGGAGCGTTACCCACACAGCTGTTTGTTATGCAAATAGTCAGCAGTTATTTTAATTGGGCAGTTTGCAGTTAATAAAAGACATTCCATTTCTATGAAAACTATTAAGTAAGTATTAAGTTTAAAGCTGCAGAAGGTAACTAAAAATTCAGAACAAAAGAAGACATTTGATTGAGTGTCATTCCGAGAGTGTCAAATATAGACGCTTTGGGACCCTGGGAATCAAACTCAACAGTCAGCTAACTTCGAGCCTCCAACCCAAAGCATCTTGATATCTTTCTCTGCTCTGATTGGTTGTTTTGGTTC